GTCAGAAGAATGTGTAAGATGCCACAGCTATTGTGAGACATATAAATCCAGAAGATGCCATTTACTATGCATGCTTTTTAGTGACAGCCTGTTTCTGACTCACAGAGAGCGCTTGATTGTGGCAAACTCAACAAATGTTTTTGACCCATTTCTGCTGTAAAATATTTATTGAGAAACTCCTGCATAGGCGGTCAATCATTGGTTCTGTTCTTCTGAAGCTGAGGATAGATGGGTATCATATGACATAATTCTTGGGGAGATAGGAACAAATGTCTGCTCATTCCAGATAGGGGATCTAACAACAGGCCAAAGTAGAGATAATGCCTTTGTCCAGTTTGGTGAGTCAAACAGTTTGGGGGGAGGTGCTTACAGAAATATGGGCGAGGGGTTACTTACAGGAACAGCGATGACTCAAAGGCAACAAAATCACCAGAACCCACCCCAGCATGGGTGATGGCTTAGGGGAGCTGGAATCCTAGAGCACGCTGCTAGAAAATTGTATCAAGGAGAAAATTACTACACAAAAGAATAGAATAAGAATATAAAACAAACAATCTCATCAAACTATAACTCAATGACCAATCCTAGGTCACTACATATTTTCATTGCCTTTGAACTAAGAATGTTTTTCCCATTTTTTAAATGTTTGAAAAATCAAGAAAATAGTTAAATTTTGACACATCAAAATTACATGAAATTCATATTTGTTTCCATGAATAATAGTTTTATTGGAACACAGCAGTGCTCATTAATTTGCATATTATCTGTGGCAGCTTTCATGACAGCCAAGATAATTGCAAGAGAGACCAGATGGCTTGCAAAACATAAACTATTTCCTATCCTGTCTTTTTCAGAAAAAAAGCCTTGCCAACTCCTGATGCAAACAAATGGTAAAATAGCATACAATTTTCCTTAGTATTTCAAGAAACTAAAATGGACTTTAGATTTGAGAGTTTTTGTAGCTGAGAGAAGCTACTTGGCTAGTGTGGCCTGGCAAGGCAGTCCTTGGGAATAGTAGCTGCCAGATGATAGTGTAATGTGTTCTATAAAGGCATGGTAAAGCTTTTGAGGCAATAGAGTGAAAGCCCATGGTCGCACTCAATAAATATGTTTGACGCAAGGCTATAATAACAGTTGCATCCAAATTCTTTTCTGTACCCCTTTAAGTATCAAAATGCTTCATTAGCAGGAAGTCCAAGCTCCCTTCTTCCTTTGTCTTCAATCATCCCCAGGGGTTGTCTATCAGATTGGGCCACACACTTTTGTCCTTCGGTGTCATTGGTCCATTGAATGCCTTTGTTGACCTAGACCATCTTCACACACTCATTCACCCAAGTTGCATTTCTATCTCTCTCTCCCTCCCTCCATTCCTCCTTCAGTCCCTTCTCCTCTCCTCTCCTCTCCTCTCCTCTCCTCTCCTCTCCTCTCCTCTCCTCTCTCCTCCCCTCTCCTCCCCTCTCCTCCCCTTCTCTCCTCTCCTCTCTTTTGTCTCTCTCTCTCCCCTCCCCCTTCCCCCTCTGTGTAAGTACAGGATAAACCTGGAACCATAATGTTAAGTATTTGTTGATGGTAATTCAGAAATACTTATGGATGGCTGAATGCATCCACTATTCATGGATATTTAAAAATATTAGAAAGTGTGCATCTATAATACCAGCACCCAGGAGATGAAGCAGGAAGAAGAAGAGTTCTGGGACATTCTGGGTTATATGGAGAGTTTGAGGTCACCCTGGGCTACATGAGACTCTGTTTCAACAACAAAAAAAGTAATGCTTCAGTTCACAAACCTCACAAGTAATCCTAGCAAAAAGGGACACATTATATAATTGCTTAATTGGGAAAACTTTAGGAAATCAACCAAAAGTATTAGTAGCATAGTTTTAAGGCAGTTGATTAGGCATTAAATATATGTAGATGTACATTTCATATACCTAGAAGTAACCAGGCAGGAAAGAAAAGTAAGGTATGGTGGCACACCACTGCAATCTCAACACTTTGGGGTGCTAAGTCTGGAAGATCATTAGCTTGAGCTAAACTTGAGCTATAGAGTGAGTTGAAGTCCAGCCTGGGCTATATAGTCAGATCTATCTCAAACACTCACCCCCCCCAACACACACAGAGAGGGGGAGAGATAGAGATAGAGAGAGAGAGAGAGAGAGAGAGAGAGATCTGACTGCCTGCTACAGTGTGTATGAATATATGTGTGCAAGCATACACATGCATACATATGGGTTGTTAAATATGTGTATGTATATACATAAACACAATAAATCTGTGGCACTTACAAAAAAATCTAAAACTTTCACTGAAATACAAGTAACAGGAGAATTCTTCATGTTTTGGGCAACAGGAAAATATTATTAAAATTTTCCTAAATTGATTTGTATTGTTGTTGCAATTCCATGAACACTCAAATAATTTTGGAGAAAGTCTAAAAAGCTTTCTGATGGGGAAAAGAATATTTAAATTTTCCTAAATTGATTTGTGTATTTAATACAATTTCATGAACACTGACATGATTTTGAAGTTCATTTGGAAGCAGACATTTGAGAGAGGAATCTATAAAATGCTGAAAGTAAAGCCAATAAGGAACAATTTGCCCCACTGATGTATTGAAGTGTGTTATAAGCACAGGATATTAGTATAGTATGGAACTGAGCCTGGAAGAGACAGATCATTAAAAGGAAATAATAGGCACAGAAAGATATTCAAGTCGATCAGGAGACATTCAAGTCAGTTAAATCATTTAGTTATCAGCCCTAGAAACACTGCCAAATCACTAAGAAGAAAAACTGAATTACACCGGGTGGTATTGGTGCACAACTTTAATCCTAGCACTTGGGAAGCAGAGGCAGATGGATGGATCTCTATGAGTTTGAGGCCAGCCTGGTCTACAAAGCGAGTTCCAGGACAGCCAATGCTGTTACACAGAGAAACCTTATCTTGAAAAAAAAAACAAAGCAAAACAGAACAAACAAACAAGAATCCATCAACCAAACAAACACAAAACTAAATAGAATTACTAATATATCTGAAATAAATGCCAAATCGATCAAATATTAAATTACAAAAGACCCTCCGTAAGCTAAAAACTCAAGTAAGAAAAACCTTACAAGTTACACGGATCTAATAACATTAACGCTGTTCTTATAAACAATATGTGTAAGCAAGGAAGTTTATAGAAAATTGTAAGATGAGCAATAAATATTAAGCATGCAATTCACTGATAAAAGAAATCTAAATCTAAGACAATTGCTTATTTTTTTCTCAGAAAATTGTCAAGATGCATGATTCTCACCAATGGTGCAGGAGCCGGCAGGGAGGGTACTCACACGCTGTTAGGAGGAATAGGTTTTGAATAATGCTTGGTAACCAGTGTGATAACTGTTAAAGGCACACAACCTTAGACAAGTAGTTCTACCTCTAGAAAATATTCTGATGTAATAAACATCAATTTATTAACAAAGGTGCTCACTCTAAAGAAACTAAGTTATTTATCAACAAAATAATTCAAAACAATCACATGTAGCTTTCCAATGCAATCCTATAAAACCAGTAAAAATGAGGTAGATTCAAACTCAGTAATGATACATTTGGAAACATTCCAATAATTACCTCTAGAAATTTTACAAAATAGCAGGCAGGCATCATGTGACTTTATGTAATAAAAATTAAGCCAGAAAATTTATGCCCTGTAAAATGCACTAGACTGTCATTGGCACTTATTGCTCCTTGGTCAGATTATTGTGGAGTTCTGGGCAACATTTGTTTTCTTTCTTATGTTTTCTTTTTAATGTTCACAATTTTCAGATAAGAAATTTAGGTAACTTAATCAAAAGAAAGCAAAGTTATTTTCAGTTCTACAAAAAGAAATTGTTGTTGTTAATTGAGTTGAAATAAATATAATTAAAAATATTCTCTTTCGTCTTCTTTTAGACCTAGCTCCTGGAGGTTCTGATGATTGGATCTATGATTTGGGCATCAAATACTCATTTACTATTGAACTTCGAGATAAAGGCAGATATGGATTTTTGCTACCTGAGAGATACATCAAACCCACTTGCGCAGAAGCTCTGGCAGCAGTCTCCAAAATAGCTTGGCATGTCATCAAGAACGTTTAATGCCCTTGCCTCTGCTCTGTGTGGTTTTATTTTACACCAAATTGTTTAGCTAGCTTCTAAGTTTAATCAGGTTCCTTCGTTTTGTCAAAGAATAAAAATACATAGCACTTTGATCTTAAGGATGACAATTGCTCATGGGTATTTTAATCGTTTTATTGTAAGGGGCTAGGTACTGATTCCCAGCTCCCTCACCCCCTGATTTACAATGACCAGCTATTTTAAGCAGTTTTAAGACTTATTATTTGTATGTGTGTGTGTGTGCCCCAGCGAGTTTAAGCACCTAGTTCGTGCTGGACCCCAGAGAAAGCGCTGGGTCCACTGTTATTGAAGTTACAGAAGGGTATGAGGAGCCATGTGGGTGTTGGAAGCTAACCGTAGTCTCTGCAAGAGCAGCAACAGCTCTTAAGGGTTGGAGCCGTTTCTCCAGCCCCTCTTAAGAAAATTGAATACTAATTTTATGCAGATCATTGGATCCAAGCAGCAAAAGCAAAGGCACTTTGAGGCATCTTAAAGATTTCCACTTCAAAATTTCAATCAATCTCTGCTCGTGTTCTTGAAAGCACAATCCCTACACAGCTTTGGCTCCAGCGGCGGGCCCAACAAGGGGAGGGGCGGATGTCAAATTCTGCAGCCCCGAAGCACGCCAGGCTGTGGTTACTGTCAGTAACAAAGTGGCACTCACGCACTGGAAAACCGTTAAATCGAGAACCCCTGCAATTAATTGGGAATCTCGGCTCTCCGTAGCTAGCTCTCAGCTTCCTTCCCCAGATCTCAGGACGCAGATGGAACACCCCCAGAGACGCCAGGGGGCGTGGTCCTGGAGGGGCGGGACTTACTCGCTGACGACTAATTTGACGGCCGGAAGTTGCCTGGCCTGTGGCGAAACGGGGCAAACTAGCGACTTCCGGTGGCGTTTTGATGCCGCCTGTCTAGCGGCCTGGCCGAGTTGCGGCCGCAGCCCGTTGCCCTGCTGCGACCTCTGTGCGTCTCCTCCTGTGTCCCAAGCTCTCTGGAAGCCTGGCGAGGATCCGGGCGGCTCCGCTGCTCCCTGTTCCCGGCGTCCGTCAGCCTGCGGAGGACCGGTTCCTGGGAGCCGCGCGTGCACCTCCTCCCCGTTGTCGTCCCGGGGCCGGGCGCGGGGACAGTCGGCTCCCCAGCTCCTCGGAGCGGAGGCGGCGGGGACGCCTGAGGACTGCGCTTGCTAAGGGTGCTCAGAGAGGAGGTAAGCGTCCTGGGAGCTGGTGGGGAGAGGCGCTGGGCAGGGCTCAGGTGGGAGGGCGGCCCTGTGCCCTCCATCCTCTCTCGGCTTATGCTACTCGCTCTTCTGAACTCTTGAGCATCCCCTTCTTCCCTCTGCAGTAGCTCCAGGAAATAGACGTGACTGTTGCTGTGGTTGTGGTTCTGGAGTCTGTCAGGGGGCAGGCAGACTTGGGTACCCTGGCGCGGGGTTCTCATTTGAATGTGATCAAAGTGCAGCAGTTTGGTCTAGGATTTCGAGTTACCTTCTTCCAGTCTTCTAAACCCGTCGGAGAGAGGAGAGCCTAACTTTTGATTGTTTCTGGTCTTGCTTACTTCCCGGCTGTAATGGATACTATTGGGAGTGTAGGAGCGCTGCTTTTATCTTTCCACTCCCTAGTCACTTTTGACAACTGTTTACCAGAAGCGGTGGAAGGTGGGGGGGGGCGGGGTTGGAACAAGGAGATAATGTATATCTGACAATAGGTTAGCATTTATGTGGTTGGAAAAGTATTTAGAGTTGAGAAGACTTCGATGATATTGGTAGGATTTTGTTTGTACAGGGCAGTATCTTAAGTTAATTAGTTTATTACGAGTCTTCAGATAGTTTGAACTTTGACAATTGTTGACAGGTGGAATCTCTTCTGGTTTGGAACTTTAAGTCTGGTATTTAAGGTTTTAAAAGTCTGTGATATTGGGCGGTGGTGGCGCACGCCTTTTAGTCCCAGCTTTTGAGAGGCAGAGGCAGGCGGATCTCTGTAAGTTCGAGACCATCCTGGTCTACAGAGCGAGTTCCAGGACAACCAGTGCTACGCAGAGAAGCCCTGTCTTGAAAAAGAAAAGAAAAGAAAACAAACAACAGCTACAAGAAAACCAAAACAGCAGCAACAACAACAACAACAACAAAACCACCTAAAAACTCTTTAGAAAAGTCGGTGATGTAGTTGCCTAGTTAAGTCCAAATGACTATGTGGTTCTGCCTTGGTGTTCAGTTTTGCTATTTAATTTTGACTTTACTAACTCCAAGCAACAATACTTTGCAACACAATGTATAAGTTTCCAAAAACTTGCACCTTCGTAATGGCTTGGTTGTAGCAGATGACAGTTTCAGCTGCGCACTTAGCAAGGTGATATAGGCGTGTAGCAGTTTGTGTGGAAACGGTTGTGCCCTGAAACCCGAGTTTTAGTGTGAGCCCTGGGTAGGATGCAGTTGCACAAAACACACAGTGGACATCCACCCATGGCAGGTGGCTCAGATACCTAAGTGTGCAGACACGCAAATCCCTTCTAGAAAGTTATGTAATCTTTGAACATGTCCCCATCTCGTGTGCTTTCAATCATCTCTATACTTCTAATACATAATATGAAAATATTATATAGGTAGTTTTATACTGGATTGTTTAGGAATAATGTAAATAGTTTGTACACTTTTGTGTAGTTTTTTTCCCCTGAATATTTTACATCCAGAGTTACAGGCTTTTTATTTATGTTCTGTTTATTGGTGATTCAGAGTGAACATTAACTGCTTATATATATATATATATATATGTATATATATATATATATCCACAACCATACCGCCCTGAACGCACCTGGTCTCAGAAACTAAGCAGGGTCAGGCCTTGTTAATGCTTGGATTGGAGATGTACACACAGACCTCAGTTTATTGTCTATAATATAAATTTAAAATACCAAAGCACAGTGTAATATATATCAGTACATTTTATTCAGTTATTACTGTTACTGATGTATCAATTTTGAATTTAAGCTTAGGTCACATTCTTGAGACATTTAACTTTCCAGAATTTGAATCCAAAATATACTTAGACTCAAACATTTAGGATAAGGGGATTCTCAATTAGCATATGTTTTACTAGCAGATTTTAGCAGTCCTTGGAAGTGATTATTCAAGAAGAGTGCCTCTCTGGTGATCCTTTGTCAGCTGTGTTTATCGTGTGGGACTCATTGTTCCCTGAAGAAGGGGAGCAGTTCTCATCTTTGAGATAATTTTCTGTCTTAATAGACTTAGCATTAGTGCCCCAGAATGCAATTTTTTTAATTGAAAGGAGTTATGAAAGCTCCAAATATTTATTAAATTCTAAAGGAGAATAATTACAGGAAAATCACTGCATAGTTGTTTGGCTTTGGTAATGCTTATATTTGAGAAAGCCATGATGAAATAGGTGTTGACAGCTTAAACCAAAGAATAATCTGAATACCAAGTAAAGGAACATCTTCAGATGAGAGTCGGTTTACCAAGAAGTTATTGGGTCACAGTCTCTGTGGTTGGGAAGACATTGTCATCTACAAGTCTGGTTCTTTGAGTCTAATATTCCTCCTCCACTTTGAAGCACTCATATCTATCTCATTAATGGTTTTTGTCCTTTAATCAAATCTACACTCTACTCTTTTGTGGGATTCATCTTTCTTTGAACCTAGCATTTAGGATTGAAGTTTTGACCTTTTACATCAGTTGATTACATGGTTTAATATATGAAAAGTAAATGTTTATTTTTCTGGTGTGTTTCTGATTATGTATTTATTTTTGTGACAAATGAGCCTTTAAGTTGTATTATTTTCTGTACAAACAAAGTGTTTATTCATGCAGGCTCATAGATGTGGCTGCTAATGTTGAGGACAGCGTTGTATTGTGGACTGCTAGTAGGAGTTTTGTGGTGGGCAGTGTGTTAATCAACTGTGTTACTGTAATGAAATTCCTGAGACAGGATACTTAGGAAAAAAGAAAGCTAATTTTGACTTATAGCTTTAGAGATTTATGTCCAGGGTTGTATCTATTACTTTGGGCCTTTTGGGTGGATGGCACAAACCAGGAAGTAGAGTTAGAAGGAGAGATGAACAGACAAGTTCTGTAGTTCACTTGAATTGCATCGCTTTGCCTCATGATGCAAGGATTTCCTATTACGCCTTACCTTTTAAAAGGTCCACAGACCCCTGCTACCACTGCCCTGAGGACCAAGCCTTTCCTGACAGTCTTTGGGGGTGCATTGGGCACACTCATCCACACCTTAGCACATGATCAGAGGTGGACCACTTTAGTAGCATATGCCGGTAATACCAGAACCTGAGAAGCTGAAGCAGGAAGATTTATTCCAGGCGGATGTCTTTAATTCTTATTTTTTACCTTTTGTGTCTCATGTTTTAGTCATCTCTATGATCTAGATCTGTTACCAAAATATAGTGTAATTCTAGAACAAAATCTGACATTGTAGGATTCTGAGAAAAAGAAGAAAGAATACATCCTTTACTTTGTTGTATTTCCCCTTTATTTCGAAGACTAAGTAGTAGCTAGGGATAAAACTTCCTGGGAAATTACCTTAAAAAAGATTTGTTTACTTTATTTTTGTTTTGTCCAGATGTATGTATATGCACTACCAGTGTGCCTAGTGCCTTAGGAGGCCAAAAGAGGGTGTTGGATCCCCTGGAACTGGAGTTAAGGATGGTTGTGAGCTACCATGGGTGTGCTGGGAATTGATGCATAGTCCTCTGCAAGAGCAACATGTTCTTTTAACTGACGAGTTCCTACAGGTGAATCTTGAATGTTTTATGTTCTCTGTAAAAGCAATCAATTCTATTTGTATGGTGAGCAGCTTTTTACTGGTAAGAGTACAAGACTGGAATGTGGCTTATACGTTGGGGTCTGTAGTTTTTACTTCATTTGGTATAACGTTCCAGTAGGATATAGACATCTAGGTGTGAAGAGAAGCTGTGAAGCCATGCATTCCAGCAGTAGACTGGGGGAGGAAAGCAGTGATGATCTAAATGGAGGTGACAGCATGTAAAGAAGTGGTGGACAGGGCGTACTGGGATCCTTTAGAAAACCAAGAGAGGAAATGGCAGATGATCGGCAATTCAGATACAGTAATAAATAGTGTATTAATCAGAGTTCTCTAGAGCAGTGGTTCTCAGCCTTCCTAAGTGTAGTAATCCTTTACTACAGTTCCTCATGTTGTGGTGACCCCCAACCATAAAATTATTTTATTGCTATTTAATAACTATAATTTGCTACTATTATGAATCGCAGTGTAAATGTCTGATATGTGACCCACAACTTGTGAACATATGCTCTAGAGGAACAACTGATAGAAAAAATATATATTATATATACAAGTGGCATATATATATATATATATATATATATATATATGGTTTATTAGAGTGGTTCACAGGCTGTGGTCCAGCTTGTCCAACAATGGTTGTCTCCCAATAGAAAGTCCAAGAATCTAATGGTTATTCAGAGCACGGGCCGGATGTCTCAGCTGGTCTTCAGTGTATATGGGAATTCTGAAGAAGTAGGTTCTGTTACCAGAGAAGCAAGAGTGAGAGCAAGCAGGCAAAGAGCAAACACTTTCATTTTGTCCTTTCTGTAGCTGCCGCAGATGGTGTGGTCCAGATTGAAGGTGGATCTTCCTACCTCAGAACACCTGGATTTAGGATGGTCTTCAAACTTCTTATAATTCAATCAAGAAGATTCCTTCACAGGTGGACCCAGCCCCTTGGGTTTTAGTTCATTCCAGATGTAGTCAAGGTGATAACTAAGAATAGCAGTCTCAAATAGCTTCTTGCATTGGTGGAATGTTATTTTTGGCATGAAGGGTGTTGGAAGTAGAGTACACTAGGGTAGACATGTTGGGGACAGAGCTAACCTGTGCTCACTGATAGCAATGGTAGAGGGAAATATAAAGGTCAGAAGTGAGCTTTCTGGAGGTGTTGTAGGGTGAGACCATCTACTTAGGAAAAAGATGTGCATTCTTTAGGTTCCGAATAGTGGAATAGCCTGTAACAAGTTCATCAGGGAACTTAGGATCGGTTCAGTTTTATTCAATGGTTGAGGATCATGTTGCACACTCATATACTGATTGATAATCATATAATGGTACTTTAAGATGCATTTTTGCCTTCAGACTTTTCTGCTCCGTGCCCCCCCTCCCAGGTTTTCTCTGTGTAGCTCTGGCTGTCCTCGAACTCACTCTGTAGACCAGTATGGGCTCAGATACACCTACTTCTGTCTCCCAAATGCTAGGGTTAAAGGTGTGAGCCACCACACATGGCTGACGTACATTTGCTTTTGTTGCCTTCAACATCGATAGAAATTTTATATTTCTAGGTATTTTCTCAGTTGATCAAAGCTTTTGTTTTCTTGGCCTTTTCCACACCACTTCTCTAAGTTTTGTGTTCTTTTATTTTTCTTCCCATAATCAACTGGGTATATGATATGGCTTTGCAGCATCTTCCCTACACATTTATGTTTGGGCTGAGAATGAATTCAAGAACAATTAAAGATACACATTACATTGATGTTAATGTATATTTGGCTAATTTGTTCTCATTTTGTTGGAAAATGACTGATATAACTGATATTGCTCACCTATGTGGCATTCTACACTATTGTAAAGCATCTTATTACTTCAGAGTTATTTCCCAACTTCTGTTGTTTTAAAAGAATGGTTACATTTTATGATAAAGAGTTAATACTATAAACTTCCCAATTAAGTCTACTTTGATGTATCATTTTATGGTTTCCTCTTTTTGATTTGTCATCTTTTCTCACCTCTCAAACTTTGTTGTCACTTTTTGAATCTACCAGAGCGTGACCTGAATGACCTACTAAATGGAATGTTTTCATAATCACTATTGAAATTTTGGCCCTTACCGTTTATTCCAGGCAGGCCTTGACCTCACAGCAGTGCTCTTGCCTTAGCTTTCTGAGTGCTAGGATTACAGGCGTGCTTTGCCCTCTCACACACCCAGCTGGTGCTGAGTTGATTCCATGTCCAGCAATATATCTTTATTTGAAGCCATATTAAAGAGCACCTGTAATCTTTATAAAAACTAGTTCTATTGCTGGGAATGTAGGGAAGCCCTGTGTTTAATCCCCAGCATACAAACTAGGTATGGTGGTACACTCTTGGAATTGCAAAACTGGAGATGGAGGCAGGAGGATCAGAAGTTAAAAGATTATCCTCTGCTGTATGTTGAATTTGAGTCTAAACTAGGCTACAGGATATCTTACAAACACATACACACACAAACACACACATACATACATGACTAGTTGTATACCAAGTAGAGGTTAGTTTTTTTTTCCTGCCATGGTTCTTCCGATAACTTGACAATTAATATTTTTGACCATGCTTAGGTGATATAAAGTGTCATGAAGTTTAGCTTTTTTGGTTTTGCTCATGAGACAGTTTCTTTTTTTAGTAGATTAGTGTGAGCTGTTACCTGGTCTGGATTTTGTTTCCTAATGTGTTGTCATTTGAATTTTTACTTTCTATTAAGTGATTGGTTTAGTTTTTCTGAGTATAGTTTTTTTTTTAATGATTTGTTTAGCTTTTTATGTACTTTTGCAATTTTTGTTTCTTATTGCTAATGACAACCCGTTCCTTCTAGCACCTTTGACTTTCTTGGTATTGTGTGTTGGATTATAGAAACACCTTGGAGAATTTTGGTTTTGGTATTACTGAAAAATTATCCTTCTTGATCACATTGCCTTTCCATGAACTCTACAGCAAAGAATGCTTAAATGGAACCCACTTTTCTTCCATACTGTTGTTTGTTTGTTTTACTTTTGATTTTCTTCCAGATGTGGTCATGCTGTAAGCTGGAGAGCCTCCTGCCTCAGCTTCCTGAGGACGGGCATTACTGCAGCGCCACACCCAGACATTTCCATACTCATTTGAAGCAGTACTTCTGTAACCGCTTAAACAGCATGAAGAGCTGTTTGTACTTTCAGTTAAGGTTTCGCCTGGTTTTAGTTCCCATGTTCTTTGACTTACATATCTTTTTTTAGTTAGCCAGTTGTTAGGCTAGCAATCTTCCCCTAAAGGAGAGAGATACCAAATTTTACAAAGGCTTTTATAAGTAGCTCATAAGGTAACAATTACAGTTGAATGTCCAGGACAGAGGGGTCCAGGTCCAGTGCACAGATCCCAGACTTAGAAAGCATGCGCTAGCAGGCAGCGTGCTTACTGGCGTCCTCTTCTGCATCCTTCTGTTCATGCTCTAAGAAGACACTTGTGATTCTAGAGTGTTACCCATAGCTTTGTCTAGTTGTAAGTTTTAGGCTCATGTGTAAAATGTGTAAAAGATTTTACTGTTTTAATTCTCTCTTTTTTGGTTAAAGTAGTTCAAAATGTCAAAAATTAGGAGGAAGGTCACAGTGGAAAACACCAAGACCATATCTGAGAGTACATCCAGAAGACCTAGTGTATTTGAGAGGCTTGGACCCAGCACTGGCAGCACAGCAGAGGTGAGTTGTTACACTGTGGACACAGGGAGCTTATTAGGAATGTCACTCAGAGGCAGAGCTCTTACCTAGCCTATACAAAGGGACCCCCACCCTCGATCCTGTGTACTGGGGGAACACTTAAAATACTATTGTTGAAGTTCTCATTGCTACTATAGGGGAAAATGGGTTGTTTTGTGATGGGATTTGTTTAGCAAATTTTACTTTAGAAGAGAAATGAAAGAGGGATTAAGGTTTGTAAATTTCTCATTGTGTTATAATGTTTTTGTTTTATATATCCAATGAATTTTGATATGAAAGAGAGGCTAAGGTTTGTCAACTTCTCATTGTGATATAATGTTTTTGTTTGTCTTACATATGCAATGAACTTTGGTCCTTTCCTTGCCCCATTCCAGTAGCACTCTACCCCTGCCCACACCTTCTTGTGGTTTATCATTCCTTTATATATTGAGTAGTAACACCCCCACCCCCCATTTTC